ACCTTCGCGCACAGTGACGCCGCATGTCACTTGCCGAAGACCTCCGATTTTCTCGTGCGCAACGTGACGATAACGCCCGGCGCCACTTGCCGCACGCATTAACTCCGATTTCTTCGTGCACAGTTGTCGACCACATGAAATCTTCAACTCGCACGACCAGCTGCTCCGACAATCTCGCGCATGCAGTGACGACAACCGTCCTGACGCCAATTGCCGCATAAAAACAGTGCCGAGATTAACGGAAACGACGAAATTTACTCACGCAATTAAATGCGACGATAGCAAAAGCTGTCCGCCACCCAGGGGGAGGGAGGCCACGGTCCATATCAACCGTCGAGGGCAAGGATCCGTCGGTGCAGCAGGAGCGCCCGTAAAAACATGGCCGCTAGGAGCAACTATCCGTTCTCCTGGCCGGCTACTGCGCTGCTCCTGTCACCACGGCATCCTTCCCTATCCCCCCCCCCGAGGGGTAATACACTCTAAAAAACGGGGAACCTAGGAACTTAGGCTCTGATACCAAGTGTTATGAGTTTTACTAAGAAGAGTGCGCTGAAGACTTTATAAAAAGGATGTCGAATACAGAATGTCGAGAATGATAAAGAAGCAAGCATTTATAGGGTTGAAACCGTGCTAGGCGAGGACCTCGGAACGTGGGTGGGTTGGAAGTGTCTCGATTGGTGCGGAGCGACTCGTCGGTGGTTCGGTCCGAAGTGTAGGTCGAACCTCGAAACTGACGCGAAGTGCTCGGGGTTGTCCTCGCTAGGAACAGCCTCTACAGTAATGAATTCATATTCATTACACTTTTATTGGAACGTGACCAACCAAGATACTGGTTGCCAAGTAACCCTACGAGTTGAACAATAATTAACAATATTCTAGTTGTCCAAGTGTAGTACTATCAGGTAACCAAATCTGGTTACCAGGTGGTAACAGGTGCCCTCTCTGCTTTTCCTCTTCCGAAGGTTGACGATCGTAAACGGTGATTCGCACATGCCATCTCGCCAAAAATGGAGGGAGGTGTAAATCGCGGTCAACCCCTCAAGCAAGTGCGGGGGTCAAGGGTGCGGGGGTCGCCCTCTCCCTACCTACCTGCTGCCGTCGCGCTCAACTAGCATTCTTTACCAAGCGTAACTCGTCCCTCTTACGTGTGTTAGTTCTCTCCCCATTTGTTTGTGTTGGTGCTTCTTCAATCTTCTTGCTGGGTTGTATTTCCAGGGGACTGATTGGTTGCAATGCCACCTTTTCCGAGTCACGTGCATTTTGCTCACATCTACGCACGTGGCTTCGCTTTCTTGTCCCCTCCATGCACCAACCGAGAGGTGCAGTGTCGCACAGGTGGGTGACGAGTGCAGAAGCTCGTCGCTGCCTGGTTTCGCTTTCGCACCTGTTCAGTTCCCGAAATACATTATTTTAGCTTTTCGCGACCTTGTTTAAAGCCCTCGCGTCACTGTAGCAAAAACCATGTTGACCTCGAGCTTTAACTTCGGAAGAATGGGCCCGACCGTTCGGTTGGCGTTAAAGCTCAAGGCCCAAATTGCAAGCCGCGGCCATCAAGACTAGTAATCTTGATGGACTCGGAAGTGTGTTACCCGATTCATTGACACGGAAGTTCGAGCGACCCCAACAGTTGTCCACAATCGTCGCGTTTGGTTGGGTGGATCCGTGCGAAACTCTGCAGCCCTGGTCCTAACACCAGGCAGACTCCGAATACTCACCTTGACGCCCACAGCCCCGCAATTTGGGACTTTTGAAGTTCAATCACGGGAGAAGGGGCAACACACCTAAACCACTCACTCCAA